AGATGCTTAGTTGAAACTAAAGGATGCCAAAAAAGATTGAGTACACGGGCCGTGCAGCCATTTCTGCCAGCTCGGAACGTCTGCCCCTCAACTATTTGCCTTAACACCTTTAACAGGAAGCTGATGGAATTAACTAGACAATACAAACAATATGTAATTGGCTTCTTGACTGATTTTGGCGTGTTTCCAAAAGTCGATGAATATTAAAGTGGACCTTTCATCCTTCCATTTTTCAGTATGCGGCCCTCAAATGAAAAAGTCTGGACACCCCTGATCTAGAATAACACGCTGGAGAGTGCACAACTTAGACTGAACAATAATAATGCAATTGTGATTGTTTTTTCTGCCCCGGTGTAGTTGTGAATCTAGTCCTGTATAATAGTAAAGAAGGCTGGAGCATAGTTTGTCTTTAGCTTTTCACGAGAAACACACATTCATGCTAGTCTGCCTTTAAAATGTCTTTCTTTATATCCTTAGTCTCTCTCAATGTGGATTTCTCTGCCTGTCATCTGTTTTTTTTGACATCATCATTGTCTGTCACTCTCACTGCCGGATCCATGCTTCATCGTGACCATGTGCTGTCTTTCAGGATGACTGGATGACGCTCCGGTGTCATTCCTAGACTCCTTTTCCTGCTCCAAGTGAGAAAGGGAATAAGGGGATTTGATGAGAGGTACCCACAATTGTGATCAAATTCATACAAACGTAGTTTCCTCCTTCCTTTCCGTTACCTCTTGGCTAACGTCTCTCAGCCGACGTAATGTGCTTCTGTACGTTGGAACATCCTCGAACTGGCCCGAGCGACGGTTTGGGAGGAAATCTAAAACGAGTCCTCCCAATCTCCTCTTGGGATCAAATGCATCTCTGGTGTTGTGTCCCTCCTTCACACCCTGGCAGCATGTGTCGTGCGTAATTCCAGCGCTACATTATGCATCTCAGCGGTAAACGCCATCTTATCAGTGAAACAGCAGACAGCGGTTGGTGAAAACTGTGGCGTCAGCTACCTCGGTGTGTGTGTGTGTGTGTGTGTGTGTGTGTGTGTGTGTGTGTGTGTGTGTGTGTGTGTGTGTGTGTGTGTGTGTCTCAATAATGGATTTGGACGTAGGGATTCGCTCGTCCCGCTCAGAATATCGTTATGAAAGCTCCTCACATCCGACTGCCAAGGGCGTCCCTGTGCCTCCCCTCTTGCTCCTCTGATAGCTCCATGCCCCTGTGACTCCTCCACAGATTAAAATAGATAAAATCATCCATACGTGATGGGAATGGCTAGTTTGGCAGTTAATGTTTGGTCACATCCCCCCCCACCTCCACCGCCATGATCATTGTCTTACTGGGCCTTCATTGGTATGCAGTTGCGAAAGAATTATAAAAGTAAAATACGTTCAGCTATATTTGGGAGTCGGTTCAAACGTACGTGCAAATACATTAGAGCAAACGTGTAGGCTAAATGCTAAAAACTTTGGATTTTCCCCAAAATGCTACCTTGATTTTCCAAACTTTGTACCAACTTTTGTCCAGAACTTGTCCAAAGCCTTTAAATGTCCAAATCCATAGTTTGGATTTACGAATGCGAATCCAAACTAATAAACTCGATCCAGACCCAAACTTGATTCATCAAAACTGTATCCAGCAAATGTTATCTGTATTGTTTTCATTGTAATAAGCTTTTTTTTTTTTTTTTTTTTTTTAGCCTTATTTGGGAGAATTTTCAACCACATTTCCATCATTTGCAGCTAGCTGAAGGCGATCCATTCCTAAATTTGACGGAAATGTACCGAGGCTCTTCACAGTGAAAAAAACTCTAAAAGCGCACAGCGGGGTAATAAATTGTCACGTTGGCGGTCGGTATTGATCACCTGCTCTCACAACCCTCTGCGGATGCATTATGAAAGTAAAAATCATTCTTACTGCATCTTTAATCCGTGCAGGCCACCCGGCGCAGGTCTTTACTGTCATGTAAGCACAGTCATTATCTGTGATGTTGAAAAAGCTCAACAGGGAGGGTGAATACCTTGTGAATTGGTATTCCGCGTGATGTTAGAAGTCTTTTGTTGTTGTTGTTGTTGAATGTGATTCCAGTGTTTTTTGTGGTAAACTCTTTTCTAAACCAACAGTAAGAGGCAGGTCTGACGAAAGCAGTTGACCCACCCGAACAAAGCTATCAGTGAGGTTTACCAGTCACCCGTACAATCCACCCCCGACTCTGACCTTAGTCAGAGTGGTCATTGTTTCCAGAGCTTGTTTGTCCCTCCGGCAGTACAAACAACTGGCTCTTCTTTACAAGTATTGATTCATTCACTCATTGTAAACTCAGTGGCTCACAGTGACTTCTAACTCCCCGTGCTGATCTATAGCATTGCTTCGCACTCAAGGACTCCTGTTGTTGATACTCAATGTTTAGATGGCACCAGATTCGGTATGTATCATTCATATTTCAAATATATAAGCATTTTGAAAGCGGATGTCGAGTCAAACATTCCTTTGGATTAATATGTTCTGCAGTATGCTCAGAAAACAGATGGATTAGCCCTAACTGTTATTCCACGAATGCAATATTAATCAGAACACCGTATTTACATGAGAACATGTTATTGCAAAGAGTTGTTTTGACAAGACTTCCACTTTAAACATATACTTGTAATTTCCTAGCTTGAGTTCCAACAACATTTTGGTGTTTTGAATTAACAAAATCTGCCTTTCATCTTAATGACCAATACGAAGGCATGGAAGTATGTCCTGTTCTGCCTTTTTCAACGGAACCTTTAATCGTGTCATTATCACAAGACTAACAAAGCATTAACACGTCACATCAATGAGCTGTGCAGCCGCGGAAGCCCGTAATTAGCCGAGTTCTCTTCCATGTTCTAATTAAAATGCACTTTTCATATTTCTCACAATTGGTGGAATACCCTTTGGGTTTCACCGTTCACGTCAACACTAATTCTGAGATGGATCCTTAGATGCCCAATGACCGTGAACGGGGCTGTTAGCTATGGCACATAGTGGAGTGATTTCATTCGCACCACCCACTGGAAAGCAATCTAGGCCCATAATGGGAAACTCAAATAGCAAATCTGTGAGTATAAGCATGTCTTGAGAAGTCACGAGTCAGCAACAGGCTCACTTGAGCAGCAACATAGTTTAACTGGAGGTCACAGGAGTGACATTGAAGGAGCCGTGATCATAGTACAGATTATTTGTCAGCGTAGCAAGGTTTCTGGCAATGTAAAATGGAAGTGGAGCCCAGGAAAAAGTGTTTGAGGAAAAAAAAAAAGGAAATGAGGAAAAGAACTACGGTTGATCAAAGCCGCATGATGAGGGGGACAGAGAAAATGAAAAGTCAGATCTTCGGCCTTAGTGTTAATACGATGGCATTCAAGGGACAGATGAGACTTTGATTGTCGCAGCTCGTCTAGTCTTATATCTGCTGCCGCTACGCTTTTATTGGAGTCCAGGTCACAGCAGTAAGAGTACCGTAGATTGGCTTGAAAATTAAAGGCAATCTTGAATTTGCAGCCGTAGGTTGTCGCAGTATTTATATATAGTATAGGTATTGCTATCTATCTATGTAGCATTGCTAGCTAGCTAGCTACATAGATAGATAGTGAGCTAGCTATAGCTAGCTAGATAGCAATGGCTAGAGACAGAGAGAGAGAGAGAGAGAGAGAGAGAGAGAGAGAGAGAGACACACACACACACGGTGATAATTATGCCTTGGCAGAGGGCCGTTCCTCCTGCTTGTTTTTGTTATTTTCTTTTGATATTTTTAGAATGTCGTTTTTATCTTTTTTTTGGTGTGTGTGATTGTGTACATTGTTTGAGAAGCTATATATATATATATATAATTAGTGGTTAGATATGTTTTAAACTCAATCATTACTCCTGTGTGTGAGAACCAATTTTGATGTTTCATTTTAATTCAAACCATGTCTGTCCGTCAGTCACGTATTCCCAACAACAGTACTACTGAATATCCATAGCCTCATCAAGATGAGGAGGAGGCGGGCTGAAGACAGATTGCTATAATTAAGACTTCATCAGCAGATTACCAAAATACCATACATATTGAAAATCACAAGACTTAATGAAGCCTGAACATTAATTTTACTGCAGCCCAATTCATTAGTTGCATATAGATACACTTAATAATGAATCACAAGTATTACGACGGTCATTGTGGTTTCCCCTCCCCGTGTTTGAAAGTCATTAGTTGGAAAAGACAGGCAGCGCAATGCTGCTGGTGGTGAAATGATAATTAGTGTTGGAGATAGATTGAGTCAATAAAGTGTAATTAATATTTCAGTGTGAGGTGTATAAGTACAGGAGCAATCAGGCTCCTAATGAGACTTTTTCCTCAAATATAAAATCAGTGGTATTGAACTCAGATTTTCTGTCAAAATATTTGTGTTTTCCAGCTACTGTTGTGATTTTTTTTTTACAACACTCATACAGTAAAAGAGGTAGCAAGTGATTGTACGTCGACATGACTCGATGTTTCAGTCCATTGAGGCTCGCCTTTCAACTCATTGTTTCAGTTTGTAAATACTCAAGTCATTTCTTCCTAATTAGACTTATTAAATGCTTTTGACATATCCTCTTCATTTTGTGTGGGGGTGGGGGGGGGCATTTGTACCAGATTTTCTAAAGAAAAGCAGACCGTCTGCTTTGTGTTTCTGAGTTTGCTGCTCTATTGAGGTCTCACAGCATCTACAATCGTAAACAAAACTCCACATGGTTACATAAGCACATGCCTTTCAGATTATTGCAAGATACAAGAAGGAAATGTAAAATATTGCTCCCCTTATCAGTACAAAATATATTTCAACAATTCTTTTAAGGCAGTAATGGCATATGAGTGAGGGATAAAACTATTGCCTGACAGAAAAGTGAGATAGAATCCATTCGCATGTGTTGCCTCAAAATAGCGTGTAAAATCCAAGACACCTGCAAGTGTGGAGTGTGAAGCAATTTTCCTTCTTTATTTCCTCCCGTCTTCCCAGCTTTCTGTGAAGAGGGCTGCAGGAGCGGCGGCACATGCGTGTCTCCCAACACATGCGTTTGCCCTTCGGGATTCACGGGACGATTCTGTGAGACAGGTAAGACCGAATGATAGCCGCTGGTTGACTTCTCAGCCTCGTTTCGATCACATTCGTCAGCCGTTGTCACTCAGGGATGGCAAACGGGCACGGAAAATGTTTTGCTGTCCAACTGAAGTCACTTGACCAACATCCTGTGTGTATTAGCACATGAAGCCATTAGAACTTCACGACACAGAAATGAAAGAAAATATAGAGTCGGCGCCATGTTTAGCTGTAGGAATATTATATGTTCGTTCAGAACATCTGTGAAGTCAAATAGGTTCCCCTGCCCACTGTTGACAGAAAAGTCTCAAACATCTACTGAATGAACGGCAGAATGTTATCCCCCTTCCATGGAATAGCTAATGCCCCACCCCGCGATCTGTGCCACATTTGCATACTTCTCACCATGTGTGTGATCACTGTTAATTACTCATTTCATGAAAAGCAGCACATCTCAGGTCACGTTGCTTTCTGCACTGCCAGCACCAAAAAGTGTCACTAGACACTTGTCACAAGCGCACGGCGAACGCTTTTCTTCATGTCTCAGGGTATGTACTGTACCGCCATGTTATGTATCTTATGCCGAGTAAATCGTCCACGAAATGAAACAGAAGGCATTATCGGTGATAATCTTTTGAATATTTAAGAGAGAATATTTTGACAGGGCAATTAATTAAGACCGAAACATCCAAATACAGTACATATTTATTTACGTAGCGCTTTCATCACAGCTGCAGCTGTAACAAAGCGCTTTACACAACATTTGACATAAAATGATCATACGACAGTACACACAACAATCAAACATGAGCAATAATACAATTGTAGCAACTATTCCTACACACGCCTTGTCGTTTGAAGTGGATATAGATGAAAGAGGAGAGAATCGGTCTCCTTTCAACGGTGGTTCAGAGACGTCATGATCACAGCATGCACGGCCAGTCAACAAGAAGCCACAGCGTCCATGGACTGAATACAGAGACCGCTTCAATTCTCCTGTCCCTTTTCGATCCGCTAATATACTCTCAGTTCCAAATACGGCACACATCCACTCTCTGCGCCGACGTTCGTCTCTCCTTCTCATCATCAGCTCCACTAGCCACCTATCCGGCGGCACCAACGCAGAAAACGAAAAGCACGTTTCATTGAGGAAGAAATCAGCAGACTCAAATGTCTGTTGTATCATGCATGAACCTTGTCACATAGGCAGATATGTGAACATGTTGATGAAACATTCCAGTTACTTTTTTTAAATGGCGCTATACGCTACAAGCTAGCAATTTCTTCCCCTTTGGAGCAATGTTAACAAGAAGAAATGCCAGCCTTTTTTTATGAGCCGCAAACTTCATAACTGTCCAAGTTTGCAGTGCTGCAAATCCACGTGATATTTCCCGAATGGTCTTTTTTTAGTGGGTTAGTAGGACTTGGACAGAAATGTAAAACTGTGAGAGCTGAGGGAGTCTCTCGAGAGCTCCGTGATTATTTTAACTGTGGGGATTAATTTGCAGCTAAAGTAAAATTGAGAGCCCTTCACAGTTTAAACCGCCATAAAGTCTTCACGTAACCCCCCTTGGAGAAACCCCGACTGATGGGGAGCAGAAACGTTGCCCTGCAGAAGGAGCTAAGTGGTTACTAATAGAAGAAAACAGAGATAAGTGTGAAACGACTTCTTCCCTTACTCTGGCTGAGACGAAGATGGATCGAGTGTGCGTCGTGGTCAGTGAGCTGCACTTCTAGAACGACTCTTCACCTTAACAGGAGCGACCAGGTTGTCTCATAGCCTACATTCACACCTCACAACAGATCGCACAAAAGAAAAAAGAAAAAACACATATTGCGGACACCAGAGGCGACAACCAGGGGAGGCAAAACGCTATCGCACTGATAATATTATAGTTAAAAAAAAAAAAAAAAAAGGAAAATTGACCATATTTGGACAAACAGGGTTTGTGCATGTCCGCTTGACAGTGACAATCTCTTAAGTGCTGTACTCCAAAACTGTATTCCATATTCCCGGTATTAGGTTGAATCTGCTTTACATAAAGAAAATAAAATAGTTGCGCTAACAGTACACATCTATCCTTGTTTCAACATGCATAAAAGGAAAAGAAAATAGTGTATTTTCAAGCAAGAAATGGATGAAATATGGAGAAGAGAAAATAAATGCTGACAGTTTGTGGGGCTTTTTTTTCTCCTAAGATAGCAGAGCACCAGCCCTCAGTCGGTAACATTTTGTATCGGAGGTGAAAAGCATTTTTGGCTGAGTCTCTTTTCATAAAAGATGAAAAGGGATATTTGCGAGTACAGCAGGATTATTGTTGCTATTTGGAAGGCTGTTGGCGCTACTGCCTTGCAGCTTGTATATACTCACTTTAAAGTGGATGGAGCTTCACAGGTCCATCAACTTGTTTATGTATTTTGGGAAACACTGAAATGTTGACGTTCAGCTTTAAACGAAGACGTTTAACGACAACATATTAGGAATTGCTGCCATTACATATACACACGGTGATATTTACCTTTATATAAATATCACCGTGGCTGACAATATTTCACAGGCGGCTGACTGCCTCAAGTCTGGGAGTCCTTCTCAGTGAGTGAAACACTTGCCATGTATTCAATTTGTTTTCCTACTAAGAGTATACATTTTTAATATGTCTCAGAGTTGTTCTATGAGAATGTTATTTTGGGTAATTATCTCTATAGGGAGTTTCTCTGGCATGAACACCCTTATTTGGTGGTGTATTTCACATTCAAGACCACATTGTGATTTTTATTTGCGGAAGGTACAAGTTGCCATCAGCCAGTCATCAGTCACAGAGCGAGAATCTACTGATTCATCTCTGGCCTGGGGGAGCAACAGAGGGCAGCCCCCCCCAGGCATCTGACACATTACTGCACTGTGTAAGAAGGCCAACAGCACAAACAAAAGTTGACTTTTTTTTTTCAAAGATCTTGACCCAAGTGTCTTTTTGGAGTGTTTATTTGTTTTCCTACTAAGAGTATACATTTTTAATATGTCTCAGAGTTGTTCTATGAGAATGTTATTTTGGGTAATTATCTCTATAGGGAGTTTCTCTGGCATGAACACCCTTATTTGGTGGTGTATTTCACATTCAAGACCACATTGTGATTTTTATTTGCGGAAGGTACAAGTTGCCATCAGCCAGTCATCAGTCACAGAGCGAGAATCTACTGATTCATCTCTGGCCTGGGGGAGCAACAGAGGGCAGCCCCCCCCAGGCATCTGACACATTACTGCACTGTGTAAGAAGGCCAACAGCACAAACAAAAGTTGACTTTTTTTTTCAAAGATCTTGACCCAAGTGTCTTTTTGGAGTGTTTACAAAGTCTGCGACTGTTTTCCGAAGAGACAAAAACAAAATGCAACCGTTTCTCCCTGTCGACTCCCAAAACGGGCAGTCTCGCATCACTGCCATCTACTGGTCATTGTGCGTCAAAGAAGTCATTTTCCAAACTTGAAAAATGACAGTGCAGCCGCATCAGACACTCCCCCACGTATGCGTGTTGTAAAATGTGTACTCATCAGTGGCAGGGAATGATTAGTTTCACCCTGCTGTTCATAAGACTATTTTTGCTTGTATGCATAACAACGCAACACCAATATTTTCAGTAAAGCATTATCTGGATGAAAAGACACAGCAGAGAGAGCGAGGTTAGAATGAAGCCCGGGTCTGGTTGCAATGCCCCGTCAGAAACAGATTGTTGGGGGGGTTAGAACACAGATCCTCACTGGGGATGGTTGGGAAGGTTGCTGATGATTAATTTGGTCTGGAGACTCATGAAGTTGATCCACGAATGCCTTGAATGCACTTAACGCTCATTTAATTATTAGATGCCTCCGTCTTTACATGCCGCTATTATCTCTGTGCACCACAACAAAAATATCATATGTAGCCAAGTTGTTGTTATTATTTATTTTTTTACATGTTTCAACCAAAGATTATCAGCACACACCAGTCTGGCCTTAAACTCCAGTTTTGACTGTTCGGTTTCACCCTTCACAAATGCGGAATTAATTAGAACTTCCTTTTCCCTTTTGGTTACTGTTTGCATTTAGGTGATTCAGAGTGTGACTGGAGGTCAGGGTTTTACTATCCCGGTGTGTGAGCAGGTCGTGTTTCATAGCCGGAAGGGAAAGAACTGCAGATGAGCAGCAGAATTCGCATGATACATAATGGATGAGAGAGATTTACTCACTTGAGAAGGAGCTAAGACCTGCCACCTCTGGGCTGGGCATGAGTATTTACTCCACTCGAGAGAAACAAAGCGAGCTGGGTAAACGTGCAAGTACGCACGCTTTCATCCCTGCCGCGATGGAAAAGCCGCAGAGATGGGTGGTGTCGAATGCGGGCAGCCGCTGGCCCAGCGCCACTCTTGTGACAGAATTTGGCACTTTGATGGGATTAGCTTCCACTGTTGCGAGCAGGCAAGACAACCAAAACAAGCACAGATGTTTCATGTTCTTAATCAAGCGTGCGTGTGTGTGTGTGTGTGTGTGTGTGTGTGTGTGTGTGTGTGTGTGTGTGTGTGTGTGTGTGTGTGTGTGTGTGCCCAGATATCAACGAGTGTACGGAGGGCCTGATTGAGTGTCACAACCATTCCCGCTGCGTCAACCTCCCCGGCTGGTACCATTGTGAATGCAGAACTGGTTTCCATGACAATGGCTCCTATCTGCTTGACGGGAGCTCATGCATTGGTGAGTATACGGCGAGTTTTAAAACATTCTCGTCATCACTTCAAAATTACAGCTGACCGGCCACTGCAGATGGTTACGTCTTTCAACATCCGATGAGAATTCTGGATACTTTTACTCCCCTTGCGTTCTCATTGTCACTTTTATTCGTGATCCTGTTGCGCATTCTGCTTGAAAGGAGGCCTGTGTGGCGGTAACCCGCGTTTAAAATCAAGCTTTGTCCTGCTTCCAATTTGATGGATGCACCTGACAGAAGGAATGACAGGAGTAAAAGCAATACCAAATGATGCACAAAGGCATCCAAGCTCAGTCGTGAGTAAAGAAAAAAAATCCCAAAAGGTTTAAAGTGGCATGATTGTGGATGTCATTCTTTGAGGAGCACAGGTGTATTCTTCGTTTTTATTTCTTTTACACCGGAGTGCCTTTTAACGCAAAACAGATAAAAACATTAACCTTTTGACTCAATTCATCAGTATTGAGCACACTGAAAACACTTTGGGAAATCTTCTCTTTGAAAACACATTAGTGCTCATTCTGGGCTTGCGGAAATAATATCGCAGCCATTGACAGTAATGGTTGAGCGCAGCTGTGTCGTAATATTTGTGCTCAGAATTCTTCCCCGGCAGGTGGAGATTTAATGTTTTGTGATTTTGAAACATCATTTTTGACAATGTTATGGTCTGTACAAAATACTTTTCAAAGATGCATTGGGAGGGTGAACAAAAATTCTAGTTATTACCAGGTGGTTGTTGTATAACTCAGTCTACGTGGTGCAGAAAAGCGCGAGTTGACAATTTTGTAAACAACGGAGACCTCCCCAAAGACATTAATGTCTATTCTTTCCATAGAAGCCATTTTATCAGCAAAGGACAATATTTCTTCATTAAAAGAAGAGCAAAGCAAAAAAACACTGAAGTCAATGTATGAAAGGTGTACTGGGAATGAAATAGGCCCCCCCCCCCTTGAGCAATCAGCAGTCAATCAAAGGCTGACACATTGACACTGACCACAGACAAAACATGTTTAAATTGAACCTGATTTTCATGACATTACACATCAGAGTTTGAAGGTGACATCAAAAATGAATGTCGTCACAGTTGCTAGTTAACTGTTTGAACAAAAGTAGTCCGTATAGTAATCCGAGTACTGTAGTATTCAAATAATATAGTTTGATTTTGTATTATTGCAAGAACAAATAAATACTGTATGCTCATCAAGATTGAAGAAACGGCATCTGGCAAGGTCCAAAAGCCATCAGCAGATGTGAGTTCAACACTGATCCTGATTGTTGACCCCAATCGGTTTGATTTGAAAAGGACACTTTCACTCCCCATAACAATAATAATAATCATCATCATAATGATCATAATAATAATAATTTATTTGTATAAGGCTTTAAAAAAAACACTCAAAGGTACTTTACATAGTAAAAGACAATTAAAAAAACAAAACAACAATTTATGCATACAACAAAAGCAAAAAATAAGACAATCGCAATGTTAAAAACTATATGGGTGCAACAGTATGTATTAAAAAAAAATGCCTCAATCAACCCCATCAGAAACAACCGTCCTGCTCTGGTAGCCATCAAACATTGCTCAAAAAAAAAAAAAAATAGCAGACATTCCAATAGCTTCTCTCCCTTTGGCATTAACTTTTTAAACAGCTGACATACAACATTTTTATTTTATTTATTTATTTAAAAAACTTTTTTTTTTACGACTGCATTTATTGTTGAAGCTCAGTTATTCCACAACATTTGCGTAGTTGTTGTTGATCAGTATCGCAGCACTGCTGGACACTTTTAATTGCTTTGTGAGTCTCAGGAACTATGAATATTTATGTTTATGCCCGAAATGTATATTTTGTTCGAGTTGCCGTAGAACCAGATTGAGTGTGTCTTTTTAAATACTTGGTCAATAAAGATGATTCTGATTGCTCACTCGTCATCCACAGTTCAAATTCCGTGATGGACAAGACATTTGTGTGCTGTACCCTTTTCAAAATACGAACTGTGACATCAGTGTCGGGAGTGCTTAATAATTTTTACTACCCATGATAGAGTGGATGCAGGATACCATCACTAAGTGCTTTAATAGCGCGATATGGATGTGGACCGTTGAGAACAGGAATGAGGAATTTCAAATTGAATTCACCATTCTTGACCTAATTTTAGCCGGCTCACTCTGAAAAGTCAGAAAAAACACTGTTTTGGCATTTACCAAATTTTGGCCAGCTGTGTAGAAACCTTGGAACACGGCCAATGGTCGAGCAAATGCGTTAAGCGCTGTACTGCAAAACAGGCTGTGGACTATATGCGATAATGAGGCCCATATTGTGGAAACTGTTTCTTTTTTTTTTTTTTCCAACTGCACCGAGGTGACAAAACTGAATGAAATAGCATATGCTTGCAGTTCATTTTGAAGCACTGCAGGACGTTAAATGGCATTGTGATGTGCTGCGTATTCACGTATTGGGGATGGCAGCAGCTGTAAGCTGCATTCCTTGTGCATGATTGCTTCGACTGAGAGCTACATGGGTCGCATCTCGAAAGACATACATTATGCCTTAAGCATTAGCGAGAGTCATGGGGCTAGAACAGCAAGATTTTCCACAAAGATGAGAATAATGCATGCTCAAAAGTCTCCCTGCATAGCAATGTGTAGGTATCCCCTTTCTCGTTGACTAGAATTGACCTGACCTTTCCATATGGGGACCCACAGCACAAACGTAATTTAGATTTGCAAATACAGAGCTTTGGAATGCTGGAAGCACTCACACAGTGAGATGGATTTTTATTGACTGCACATGAGATATGTATTCCGTGGTATCGGCGCATTCGTTTCTGACTTTTAGGTTTTCCATTTAGTTGGGTGTGCTTCAGCTGCGTTCTCCTAATGACTTTTGTGTTGCAGTCTTGGGTGTGTGTCATCTGCGAGAAGCGGCTTCTGGTGGAATGTGGTGAATGTAGCATGACGAGCATTAATCCTTCAGCAGCAGAGGTGCATGTCCTACCGACTAATGGGGATTTTATGTAGTGTATGCAAATAGTCTGTGGGAGGAAGAATACATTCTCCGCTGAGCTGTTGTGCACTGGCTCGCAAACTTGATTCTGCAAACAATGAGTGAATGTCTTCAGCAGTGGTACAGTGTATTGTCATGGCTTCAACATGAGCCAAGCTTCATGTCGTCTCAGTGGCTTGCCTGCCAAATGCAACTGTATCTTGAGTGTGAATATCTTTGGCCAATGCATCATACATTCTGGTTTGTGTTTATGTTTTTTATTTTGCTTAACTTTGAAAAGCTGACATCAGTGTGGCAATTAAATGAAGAAAAAAGTGGCATCAATTCAAATGACAGATGGAGCTAACCCCAGGATTTGGGCAAAATGTCACATGTGCTTTGGCAAAAGAAAATGAAAATGCATAACATTACAGCCGAGGCTTGACAGGCACCTGGATGCGGCTGAATCACGAAGACATGAATGGAGAAAGTAAAACGTGATCACGCTCAGTTGAAATTGACAGTCAGGGAGAGATGCACTTTCAATATTTAGTACCATGTCATATCTGTTCATTATTGAGGTTTGCAGTGGTACAGAACTGCTTGGCTAATATCGACTACTGTGTGTGTGTGTGTGTGTGTGTGTGTGTGAGTGTGTGTGTGAGTGTGTGTGTGTGTGTGTGTGTGTGTGTGTGTGTGTGTGTGTGTGTGTGTGTGTGTGTGCGCGCGCACGTGCGTGCATGCATGTGTGTGTAATATACACATATAGTCTTCTTTTGCACCAGTGATGGAAAAATGAAGCTTTAAGTTGCTTCATGAACCAGTTGTTTACTGAGCACTCGAGATGAAACTCTTTGTTCAACATTGTGCTGCAAGCATACTAACTTGCAATTTCTTGAAACTATTTCTTTAAACTGACAGTGTCGTCTAGAGTAGTTGAGAAGTACAACTGGTTCATGAAGCAAATATGAAGCTTCATTTTCCCAACACTATGTTTGCACCCTTTTCCACGTATAAATCATGTAAAGTCAATGAAGGCAGAACTCGTTAGACATAGTAGGTATGAATTATATAACTAACATTCCAAAGTATTTTTCTCTGTAGTGTAGATTTTTTTTTATGCACCTTTGTGAAAACTCAGACAGCTACACATTAGGAGGGGTACATGACTTCTCCATTTTTTAGGGCAGCTGACTACTGTGTAGTTGCCAGCTACAGGAATCCAGTGGAACTTCAAATCAAATTTACAACCAGGCTTTTTTTTCTGTCTTTGTTCTTATTAAAAGCAATATTCTTTTATGCACAATATTGTACTATTAGATTAGTTGGCAACCTAGGGCCATCAACAACTATATGGCTTTTATGATCAGGTTTCAATGCCATGTTTCTTATTGAATCAGCATTGTGTTCCACCTGTTTTGTTTTTGTTTTTATGGTGCCGGATAACAGACTGCCAGAACGTAGACAATCCATGAAAACAAAATCCATGCATCTGTATTGTTGGCCTTCTGTGACTTGCTTTCTGTCTGCCTCCTAGATATCGATGAGTGCAGCTTGCAGAAGCACACCTGCTGGAATAACAGTGTGTGTGTGAATTTACCTGGAAGCTACGACTGCGTATGTACATCAGGTCCAGGCTGCACTGGGGACTGTCCACAGGAAGACGGCATTAGAAGGAACAGAGAAGACTGGAAACCCAGCTATGACATCTGTACTATTTGTTCCTGCAAGGTAACAAAGGCCAAGCAAATACAAAAGGGGCTACACATGTTTTATGATGACAATGTTGGATGTGTCTTAAATGAGGCAAGACTGTTTTGTCACAGGTAAACAACTTTCGGGATGCAGACTCTGAAGTCAGCTGCGTGACGTCGCTGCGGTGAACTTAGATATTGATCACAGTTGTCGATGGAAATATGAGTGCATTTGCATCTGTGATGATATTTACCCTGTCAGTATATGGAAAAGTGCTTTTAGTGTGCACAGGTGTGTGTGGAGGTTTCCCGCCTTCTTTTTGCTTTCAGACGTTTTATGATCAACTGCGACACAAGGCGATCCCTGTGCCGTGTGTGCCAGCACAATTCAAATTCAAAGATAAAGAAACTCCTACACGCGTAGCCTTTGGCATGGAGATTCAGTACCCAAAAAGAACCAGATGAATTAACCCACGTCGAGAACATCTCCAACAAAGGCTATATTGAACACGTCCCATAAATAATTCATGTAAAACGTGTCAATCACAGCACTGGTAATTATATTCATTATGAAGCTGTTGTCAAACACTAAACAGGCAGCACTGATGTGGACTTGTGGGAAAAATCGGAACGCAGCGCCGGAATGCATGCATTTACTTGCTGGCATTGCGAGCATGCCACAATTGGCTGTAATTCCCCAGCAGGCTTGAGACCGTAAACATAAAGACCAAGGCCATAAGAATTGGCCTCATGGTTACTGAAGCGGGACAATATGCAGAGATAAAACATTGGCTCGGTGTTACCTTTTAATGGTATGCAGAGTGATTTTATGGCCCTCGTACGTTTTCTACCGGCCCTTTCTTGTAACATTTTTATATCCACCACCGCGCTGCCATCCTTGAGCCAGACAGTGCTTGCTGTTCTGTGTAAAACCCACCATTATGTTTTTAGCAGGTGGAGTGGAAGATATAGGGACAGAGTGTCCAGATATTTAGTCAATATACAGCCGAACACTCGCTCTTCGCAGAAGATAGGGACTAAGACTCGCCACAAAACGCCTAACCCCTAACCCAAAACGCCTAACCCTTAACCCTACCCCAAACACCCTCACACCCGAACCCCAAACCCTAACCCCCTAATCCTCACCCCTATTTTCCAAACCCTAAACCCAAACCCCAAACTCCTAACCCGAACCCTAACCTCTATACTGACCCCATAACTCCAACACCCTAACCTCTAACCCTACCCCTAACACCCAAACCCTAACCCTACCCTAACCCCCTAACCCTAACACCCTACCTCTAACACCCTAACCCCAAACACGAACACCATAACCCTAACCCCAAACCCTAACACCCTAACCCTACCCGCAACCCCGAAACCCTAACCCTAATATCACAACCCCTAACACCCGAACCCTACCCCTAACCCTGAAACCCTAACCCTAACACCCTAACCCCTAACCCTAACCCTACCCCCAAACCCTAATCCCTAGCCCTAACACCCTCACCCCCTAACCTGTAACTCCTAACCCTGAACCCTAACCCTACCCGCAACCCCGAAACCCTAACACCCTAACCCTAATACCACAACCCCTAACACCCGAACCCTACCCCTAACCCTGAAACCCTGACCCTAACACCCTAACCCCGAACCCTACCCCCAAGCCCCTAGCCTTAACACCCTCACCCCCTAACCTGTAACCCCTAACCCTGAACCCTAACCCCAACCCTAATGTGATTAAGAGCTATATTAATACATGTGACTTGACTTGAAATGGCTAGAAAGGCTGAGGCAATTTGCAGGACCATATGCATTTGTTATGGTTGTTTTCTTTTTCAAAATCTTCAATGCTCTTGAACCGTGTGACCTCTACTTTTCAGGATGGCCAGACATATTGTCGAAGGAAACCATGCGACTGCGGGGACCCAGAGGAGGATCTGTTCTGCTGTCCGAGTTGTGATAACAGACCCAGCAGCCAGTGTTTGGACCAGAGCGGCCGCACACTCTACCGGAGTGGCGCGTCCTGGCTGTATGGCTGCCAGCAGTGCCGCTGCATGGTCAGCGCACGCACGCACGCACGCACGCACGCATATGCAACACAAATGAAACCTGACCTTCATGGCAACTCCCTGAGGGTTGTAACTAAATCTCCTCATCAATATGGAGCTCAAGATTTCAGCTTTGTTTTACACCCGGCCACGGAAAGCTGTTCGGCTGACTTTGTGCGTTTGTTAAGTGACCGCACAAGTGCTAGGTTGCTTTATTTCCACCCTTTCTTGTCTGTGTGTTTCCAGGAAGGCGAGGTGGACTGCTGGCCTTTGGTTTGTCCCGTGCTGATGTGCGACTACACGGCCGTGGCGGAAGGCGAATGCTGCCCGCGCTGCGTCACAGACCCCTGCCTGGCTGACAGTCTGTCCTATGACATCCGACAAACGTGTTCGGACCACGCGGGCATCACTCGCCTCAGTGGGGACACATGGCAGATGCCCAACTCGCCCTGCACCAGCTGCATGTGTAAAGTAAGACACGTCAACATGTCGCGTTCGCTGAAGTACCCTAATTGTACTTTAATGTCGTTTATTATGAGTCATCGATGTGAGTTATTTCCTTCGCCGGAACAATTAGACTTACTGATGCGCAGATTAAATAATACTAAATTATACTTTGTGAAAATTAAAATGGTCTTGATTTGATTTTAAATGTCATGTAATTAGGGACTGGTTGATTTCACTTTTTATCAGACAGATACCAGTCGCAATGATAAAAAAATTTTGAACAAAGAAGGACTTCCTCAATGTCAATTTTTTTATTTTTGCTTCAAGTATCAGCGGCAGGTATCGGCAGCCACTCTGAGTACCCGACACCTTAAAATGTGGCCAGTATAGGCTTGATACTGACTCCTGGTATTGGTACTCACCCATTGCAAGTTGTAATATGTGTTTAAACTAAAGTTCGAGAAGTAGATGTTCACGTATGCGAGAGGGGTATGTTCAAAGTTAAGTAGCGGTCGTATAACAGCAAGAAAGAGCATACTTTTCATTAACTGTGTACTTCTCTGGTCGTATAATTGTCACGAGCCGTTAGAACTGAAAGGTTAAATTTGTGAGTAATTGACTCCCCCCAAAAGGTTTTGAATTGCTCTCACTTCACGATAGTTACTTGGCACCAAGATGGCTGTCCCAAGATGATGCCAAAGCACTATTTTTATATTATACAAGACTTCGGCGCCATCTTGGGGCATCTTAGTGCATCTCAGACGGAATCGGCGAGTTTTTCACCAAATCACGGACAATATTTTCAAACAAAAGCCACCAACGGGTGAGTTTCAACGATAAGAATTCACTTTTTAACGTAGAAACGATACGAACAGTACCTGTAAGTAACTTACTGTACAAGGGTTGTTGCTGTCTGTGTCACGGTTGCCGCCGCACTGAATTGTGGGATATCCATGCAGGCAAAGTATACAACACTTGCTTCTTCTTTGTGCTCTCCTGCCGCCCGCCACAGAATGGAAACGTCTGCTGTTCGCTGGATCTCGACTGCCTTCAGAACAACTGAGGCGCCGCTTCTTCGCCGCGCTTTCTCTCACTACCTTTCCCTGACTCCTCCCCTTTCGCCACAGGGCCGCCACGCCCCACTCGTCGTGAAACAACTGAGCCCTTGAGGGTTTTTTGGGGGGGGGGGATTAAAACTCTTGCACATTCTTCTGTATGCCATTGTGTGCATTGAAAATATAAACACACTGGTTGAGACATTACATTTTTTTTTTTGTTTGGTTTCCCCCCTCCCCCCCTCCCACCTAAAACTGTGCTGGCACCGCATGACTGCGAAGTAGCTCTGCGGGAGCCGAAGGCTGAAGCTCCTCGCATCCCCGTTGTATGTCTTCATCTTTTCTTCTGTTTCACAAAACGCTGTACAGTTTGGCTATTGTCTGTCAAGTCCCGAACGAGACACAAGACGCATTGAGCTGTCTTTATAAGAGTTTGTAGCCCGGTAATGACGTCGATGAGACGTCGACATAATCACTTGTAATGATTGTCATGACTTGTGTTTGGTATTGAGGTTTTCCATCAACCAATGTAGACCAATGTGGCTCACCAAAACATTCATAAAAATTTGGGTGGGGGGGGCAAGGAATCCAAACTGCTTAAAGATGATTACATAGAGCAATATTTAAGTTTAAAGCGCGCACAAAGTGGGAGAAAAGTTATTTGGACGTGAAGGGAAAAAAAGGCTGCTCGTGGTGATTGTCCAACAAAGCGTAGACATTTCTCAGCAATATCAAACGAAGTCAACATAGCGATTTATTGCAGGCAATACCAGGTTTGACCTCAAGGAGCAATAGTGAGCTAGCGTAGCTTCCAGGCGGCCCTCAGTTCAACATACGCGTGAACAAGAAGCCAATCAAACCTCGATTGATTCAGAACTTCAAGATGTTTGCAAATGACAAAAAAAAAAAAAAAAAAAAAATCCGATCAGTACAAACAAATCTTTTTTTTTTTTGGCTGATAGCTGCAACAATTATCCCAGCTAAAATCCAAGCTATGCAAATAATGAATAAAAATAATTCTACTGTCGATTGGTATGACAAATTAACACTGCGCTGACATGACATGATCTTAACCTGCATCACATTGTTTTCGTTGGACTAATTTTCAAAGTTTTTACATCATAGCTTCTTACGTAAAGCACTTTCAAATGCAATGTGCACATATTTTTTGGAAAAAAAAAACAAACCCGCAAAACAATTCTATTTTTTTTTTCTTTCACAAAAGTACTTGACAAATACGTGCACAAGGATGCGTAAGCAGCCTACAGGCTTTTAATGAGTCTTGGTTTTCACGTCTGTGATCTCTTTCTTCGGCATCGGTGCTCCTCTCCGACTGTCAAATCATTCCGCAGTGCGATGGTGTGCCACGAAAGCCCGCAGCGGCGCTATCGACATTGATTAAATTGTCGGACGTCGTTGTTGGTCAGATTGTTCTGTCATTCCCAAGGCCGCTGAGCTCTTCGCCGTACGGCGCACACGCAATGACGGCAAGACATTAAAAAGGGGAAAGGGAGATAATTAAAGGCCCGGTCGTCTGGATTGGAGTATGCCAGCAGGTCGCCGTGTGTCGAACGTGTTTACAGACGGTCAGGCTCATTAAGACGGAAAATGTCAGCGCTCTTTCCGCAACACTACACATGTTCTCACCCCATCGTCACTCCTGTCCTGTTCTCCATCAAACTGATGTTTGTCTTGAGAGGACTTGAGTGTCCCTTTCATCACACTTTGAGGCTGTCGCCGTCAGTAATATTTGTTATACCAACCCCCCCCCCCACCACCCCCCCAAAAAAAAAAGTAAGATGGATTCCCATCACCGTATTCTCAGTTTTACATATAAGGACAGCCACGGAAATGAAAAACATATTTCGGATTCTGTCGGACCTGGTCACCTTTTGGCCAAATGACGCAAATTCAGGACACTTTTTCGAACTGAATGGATATCATTAGTTTTACTGATGATCCTTGAACTCATCAAGTTACTGGCGACAACAGTGTCAAAAATTTTGCTTGTATTTCTTTGGAGGGGGAATGAAAAAGTAATTCAAGTTGGAACAACTTTCAAATCGAAATGATTGACACTGATGGCAGATACGTTAGCACAGCCGAGCTAGCAATTTGTTGGCACCAAAACGAACTGCGATCGACTGGTTCATGGCATACCGCGAGACACACGCGACACTGTATACTGTTGTCATTCAAATTCGCTCATTTGGTCGCCTCTCTTTTTTTCCCCGAAGATTCTCTCGAGCTCGATTCTCACGCATGCACAGAGGAGGTCTGCAAGTGGCTTCAACAAGGGATAATTCCTTGTCTGAGCTCTTTGGTGAAGCTGCAGGAAAGCTAATTTTCACAGGAGCGAAATGTATATTTTTGCTGAATTGTCCAACGTTACATTTTGTAGGCTTGTTCACTCAACGATTTTTTTTTTAATTGTTTTTTGCAGTGAATATGGTACCACAACCTATTGAATCATTGAAGAGAAGGTGTACGGTTGGAACATGATTCTCTTTCCAAAGACAGTTGTTCCACGTGTAATGTACGCGATACATCATGCTGACACATGCTCATTCCTTTGCCCCAACTTCGATCAACAGATCAACGGAAGAAATTGAACATTTGACCTTCATATAGTCAAAGGCCTCATTGATGGTTAAACATTTGGTAGGACCCCCATTTAGCAATTGAAGCGGTGCGCGGCTACAAACTACGGTAGTTACCATTACATGAATTGAATACATTCTTAGCAATGAAACCGTTGAAATGATCTTTGTATATGCAAAATACCAAGCGATAAAATGATGAAAGTAGTTACTGTATTTATCACTAGTTTGTGCTGGTAGACCTGCCAAAAATGACTTTATGAATCTCGTTTTTATTTATTTATTTATTTATTGTGATAAATTCAGCCGAACACCTCCCAGATATTTCATTGGTTCAGTTATGAAGTGTTTATGATGAAGTGACCAAAATTGGACACAAAGCGAGACAGAACGGCATGTGCATTGTGTAAACTCCCCAATTTGCCTTCTTTCTGACCTTCCCCGTGTTGGGCTTGTGAATCCTGACGGGTCATCTTGTGATCGGCGGTGTCATCGTGCCTCCGGAGGGGGACGGCGGCCTGCAGAGTGGTGCGCCGGCGCTTTTAGTTCTCGGCCACGGTGACCTTGTCTCGTCCGTTCGCCGTGGCATCTGTTTGCGTCTCATAGGAGCGTATCGCCGTGTATCTTCCCTTCCTCGCTGCCACTTTTGTAAAAACACAATCCATTAACTGGGCAGCGAAATGAAAAACGAAAGACATTCATGGTGTCTGTCCTCAGTCACGTCCAACACAGCGGTCGAAGGCGGACATTTGTAAAAAGATCACTAAAAACACTTTTTCCGCGCGTGCCATTGATTTATTTGATATGAAACGTTAAAAAAAAAAAAGATGGAAAAAAAAAAAGCTACTGTAAACACGTTGCAAGTCTGTGTGTAAATGTTTTTACATACTGCCGGTATGACGAAATGATACCGTTTTCTAACGACTATTGTGTTCATGCATAACGTGTTCCTTTTGGTGACGACTTTGATTTCTCTGCGCATTTACTATGTAAATAGATTGTAAAGTGAAGGCTTCTGTAAAGTATGTAAGACTAATGTGAATAATTCTCATGAACTACAGCTTCTTAGGAGTGTTTTGAGTCCAGTATGAGAAGCGAGTTGTATATTGTTTTCAACTGCTCTTTATTTTTCTATGTTTGCCTTAACCCTTTTTTTTTTCCTCGTCACTGTTTTTAGGTCAACTTTATGAATTAGGCTAGTCTGTATGTCTTGTACACTGAAATCCGCGTCGACTGACGATTCACTGCACTGACAAACGTGATTTGGGGAGGGGGGGAAATGATAGTTTGACAAAATAGACTGTACACATGAAAAAAAGAGAGGAAGAAAAAACAAATCAAAATGCAGCGTAAGAGAAAAGGTTGTTCTCGATTCATTTTCACACACACACACACACACACACACACACACACACACACACACACACACACACACAAAAACACTGTGTTGCTCCATTATGTCTAACTAGAGGAGAAAAAAAAAAAAAAAAAAAAACGAAGGAGCTTTGGAAATCGTTGCTTTTCTTCACGTTTTTGATTGACAAACACACTGGAAAAATTCACCCGGTGCGTTTGCTGTTCTTGTACTCGAAGGATTAAGTGTCATTTGACTTGAAGACCGTGTTGTGAGTTTGCTGTAAAACATTCTCCGGTGAATAAATATTTTAGTTGTTTACTTTATTTGCCGTGTCCGTTTGTTTCCAAAGTGTGATGGCCACTGTCATTCCAAGTTTGGCTTTGTCAAGCCAAATCGTTTTTTTCTGAACTTTTGCTCCCCATCCAGCAAAAAAAATAAATCCTGTTCCACCAGCAGCATGCAATCCTGGAAAAGCTTTTCAGCTTTTCCTCTCTACAATCCAAGACCATTTTATCCGAGGAAATTTCATGAATACATTCAAGATAACATTTTTTGTATTTCCGGACTATACACCGCTACTTTTTTCCCCCCGGGTTTTGAACCCTGCGGCTTTTATTGCGGTTTATTAAGGAATTATTACTGACGAGCGTCAAGCCACCAATACATTAACCCTTAATCTCATTACATCCGACCAATAAAATTACTCAACACGTTGCAGTGGACCAATGAACCTGCCAGAGTCCGCCCTCAGACTGAATATTCATCAGCTATTTACAGTTGGAGTGCGCCCGCACGAGAGAAAGGTGAAAGCTGTGCAGGAGAGAGTATAGATCGAGCATCAATATACGATACAACAAAAATAAGCATCTTTAGTTCAGTGTCACGTGCATAGGGAACGAGTGCCATAAATACATCCATCTTCGAAGTGCGACGCTCGTCTCCCATCATCGCTGGCAACGGGGACAGCAAGTCCGGCCGCGGAGCGACATCTCCTCGCTGACCGAAGTCTGTGCGGCCCGCCCGGCTCACGACGCGTGACAAACTGGTTTTCCAAAGCTGCACTGCTGCACGGTGAAGCTCATCAGCCGTGTTTTGTAGTCCAGAAACTACGGTAAATGGCCTTGGGTGGATCTTCTCCAGGTACTTTGGGCTCCACCCACATTCCAAATCCATGCCTGGTAGGTGAAGTGAAGATTCAAAATTGTTCTTCGGTATCAATGTGGGTGTGGATGATTGATGACGGGGCTCGACTCGATGTAGCATCAAGGAGCAACGGCGAACACCTG